CATAATTGTGAAAATGTCTGCATCATAGGTTTGTAGGATTCTCTGTACTTAGATCTTTTTGTCCGTAGGTTTGTAGGATTTTCTGTATTTGGATCTTTTTGTCCGTTACATTCCTCCAGCATTCCACTGGAGGATCTGAAGACATTGGTGTAGGATTTTCTTGACTTGGATCTTTTTGTCCTGTGACATCCCTCCAGCATTCCACTGGAGGATCTGAAGACGATGTTATTGGCTATGACGGGGGCGGTTTCTCTTATAGCCTTATTTAAGCTAATCATAATAAATCGAAGTCAAATCAAATGCCGAGTGATAGACTTTTTTGCCCTACGAAGATACGCTGTCCAGGGTGCACCACGTGGAGGTAAGTCTATCGCGCACCACACTTTGACCATTTAAATAGGTTATTTTGAAATTAACACAATGCCACAATAACGTTTGGATCTATTATGGACATGAGCCCTTGAGCTGAAGTCAGCTAAAGGGCTAATGATAACTATCAACACCGCCCGTCATTTGATAAAAATAAATAAATAATTACAAGATTAGATTAAAACCTTTCACGTCTAGTAGATATAATACTGAAAGCCAAACCTTTATTAGTGAAGGCATCTCGTAATAACACTTGCTGAACTTAAACATGTTTGACGTAAAATCGTTAATTCCACTATTTTAAAAATAAATATTTACAAAATCATATCTTATTTGGGTTTGTAGAAGGAATTAGAGGGCCATAAGTAACGATTCAATCGGTTAGTTCAAATATGGCAGTTTGTGTCCAAATTCATCCCCGTGTCCTCTATAGGTGATCACAACAAGTTCGAGTTCATGGAGGTGGTGATTACAGTGGGACAAAAGAATAGACTGAGCGAGAGAGCATTTTACTAATTTTTGTTATTGGTAAAAATTATGTTGTTTAATTCCAAGAAGATGGCATGCATACAAACTCTTTTTGAGAATTAACATGCTCCCTAAGACAAAGCAATCATGAAGTACATCAGGAGACTGCAAAATTAAAGAACTAAAAAAGAATAACTTTTATTTTACTTCGTAGTTGGAGTTCGATTAACCGAGATTCAACAATTCAATATTTTGAGCTCAAATATTGATCCTTGCATGGACTACCTGGCCCACAGTAAAAATATCTTCGATTTCCCTCAACGATTTACATGTATTTCAAATTTTATTCTTTTATTTTTATTAAAATAGTTATTTACATTAGCGTTTCGTATGCGAAGTAATATGAATAACAATATGTCAGACATAGTTTGATGCCGATTGCAAGACTTCCCCTCCTCTGGATGGAATATTGGAACATATTTCGCAAAAAATCCTGACACGGGAACAACAAAGTTGTTCGAAAGATCGGAAATTCGAGAGTCGGGTAGAAACTGAAATTTGGGGCAGAACGCCAAATTTTGGACATATTAATTGAGTCGAAGGTTTCAAACCCAAATTTCGGCAAACGCATAAGCCATGCCATCTAGGCCTTCTTGTTTTTAAGTATTTTATGTTATAAGCTCATAAAGTTGAACGTCAAGCCTCCGTCTTTAACACTTTTATGGTGTTTTTTTCTGAAATAACGCAACACTTTCACGAGTGTACGCATGTACGTTGACATTATGTTTATAACTCAAGGCAATGTAGAAAATTATAAGCCGTAATGAGCAATCACCTAATTAAAAATATAATGTCATTATTTCGTTTTACTTTTACCATTAATTTCATGGCATATATGCAATAAAAAATGCACCAACAATGGCCCAAATTACGCGTGATTACATATATTTAATTAAATTAAAATTAATTATTGCCAATTACCTGGGTTTGCAATATTTCATGGAAGGTTAAATTATTAAATAGGATTGAAACCCGGAAATATTTTTCATTTATCATTCATTCAGCTGACGACGTCGTGGAAGAAGAAAAAAGGAACTTCGAAAGCTACATTTAACGAATTAACTTTTTTACTTTTTACCAATATTCTTTTCTGATTGAATAATTTATAATTTTTAAATTTTTCCCTAAATTAGTGCCTTAATTTAACTTTATGTCCTGTCTAGTAGAATTCTCACTTTCTTGACCAACTGAACAGTTGTTAATGAAAATAATATTCAAAAAACTGATATGACATTTTAATTTAATAAATTAATAGGAGACGCTCAACCAAATTTATTCATAAATAATCAGAATTTTAAATATAGTAAATTTTTTAAGTTTGTTTATAAAGCTTTAGTTGTATTTGTTTTTCGTTCGATTAAATATTACACAATTTTTTATTAAGCCCAGGACTCTTGTCTATATATATGACAATTAAAAAATGCATTTTGATGAAGACAAGATAAATAAAGTCGTTTTCATCAATTTTTTTAAAAATTAAGGCCAACTTATCCGCGGTTACTTTCCTATCTCAATGCAAAATTCTGCTCGATTTTCAACATTTCTCCGCTTGCTTGGGTGAGCTTTCGTAGTACATGAAGTGCGTAGTGATTTCTTTTACTATATTTATTTATTTATTTATTTCAAATGATAGACGTTTTGATAATTATCATTAGCCTTTTAGCTGACGTCAGGCTTCACAGAGGGGAGGAACATCGAAGGGGGAAAATTCGAGAGGGAGAACAGAGGAGTGGTTTACAGATGTAAAAGAGTCAAACAGATACAAAAGCAGAGTAAAGGTAAGATGAGTACTGTGAAAGTGGTCGGATATGGCATACAGTGGGATGATGGTAGTTTGAAGTCAGAAGTCAACTGCCGATTTATAGACTTCTTTGACGTATGAGTATACGTTGCCCAGAGTGCACCAAGTGGAGGTAAGTCTATCACAATCCTCATATTGCTATGTATGAATCGTGACACTTCTCTTGTGATTAACCTATTTGTTTCAAATATTCCTTAATTAGAAAAAAAACAAAGGAGTTTTTTCTCATGCAATTTTCAATGTGAGTCAACATGGACCTACAAATAATCAAATTTCACTATTTATGCCCCAAATTTCTGCTTAAATTTATGTTCACGATACCCAGTACTAGTGAACCGGACAATTTAAAAGGATAGACATTTCTACGACTTCAAGTCACTGCGTTCAATGACTGAGCAGTTAAATGGGGCTTTAAAACCTTTTCGAAGCAGCCGACCACAATTAAGTTCAACAACTCCTTAGCATTTAGATTCATCTCATTATCCTATGTTGTATCATGCTGTTTCTAAAGGTTACAGTCACTTTCCGACAAATCAATTGGTGCACTATGTCACACCGTAGGACGAAATGATAATAATCCTGTTTCCTTTATTCATTTCTATCCAATCCCCTTCTGATATTCAGGCTAAATTATCCAATTCAGGACACCTTTTAATCCGAATCCTAAAGGGAAATAAGTGAGGGCTTAGTAAATTAGGATTTTTATTTTCAAGTTTACACAGAGCACTGGATGAATGTGGGCAGAGGTTATACAAACGATGAGGGAAAGTGACAGAAAACCCCAGTTTGTCGCTGCTGCTGCTGCTGGAACTTTTTATCATCATCTTCCAGGCCTTCTGCGTCATGAGGTTCCTTATCCGCAGCCAAAACAAGTAAGCATTCCTCATCTCCTTCAGAAGCGAATTCAACTGACTTTTTGGGTAGGTGCGGAAAGGCGTTCATTCCATCTTCATCCTCATTATTAACAACAAGGGCGGTGTCTCGATCGATTATTTTGCAGCGTCGAAGTTGGGAGACAAGTTGGTGGGCCTCATTTGGCGAGTCAGGTTTTTGCCGACCCAACTCGTTTTTTGATGCGCTGGATTTAGGAGGTATTGAGGAGGGGAGGCTGTTGCAAACGGTGCCATAGAGGGCTGGATTTAAAGGAATGGGACGAGTTTGTGAAACTTCCTGTTCTGGAGTTGGAGTCGACCTGATCAATGACTGATAAACTAGAAAGAAATCATGCAAGTTTAAAACTGGTTTGTCCGAAACAATGGTAACAGAATGATCAAAAAATGAATTTTTGTTGCAAGACATGGATTCCAAGGGAATTTGACGATGCCCAAATTGTGACTGGATCAATTTTTTAACCTCAAATTTCCTTGATAGGAGTTCCTTGAGCATCTCCTTCTACATTTTTTTAGATTTATGAAGCTAAGTGTGCCCAATTGGCATTTTTTCATTAAATAACGTCATTACTATGTGAAAATCAACACTAACTGTAAATATTGTTCTACATAAGTATTCCTCAAATGTTTCATTTATTTTCATTAGAAGTAATTACTGATTTAGTCTATATTAAAATAGTGGAGTGGTTTATTTGTAATTTATTGTTATGCAAAAAAATATGTAGTAACTTTGTTAGGAAAGCAAAAAAATTAGTGTATTGGGAAAAGTTAATTGTTTGCCTTGTTAATATGGAGAAGGAACGTTATTTTTTCAAACCGCTGGTCATAAAAACAAATGAAGTAACTTTTGTTTGGCATACTTTTAAATAGAAACAACATATTCGTTACTATATTTTTTATTTATTTGAAAAAGGCATTATCTCTTTTAGCATATCTTTTTATGCAAACAACTGTTAGCTTTTTGGCAAAGGTAGTCGGCTTTGTTTAAATGAAGCAAACCATCGTAAAAAATTCGATTAATTTTATTAAGATAACTTTAAACGGTAAATAATAAAAATATGAATATTTAAAATATTAAACAAACTTTATGCCTGAAAACAAAGTTGGCCCGTATATGAACCCTTCGACAAGTGACTTTTTGACAACTTGGCAAGAAATGTAAATAGTTAGTTTGGTTAACAATGCATTTATAATATGCACATTTTCACAATCTATATTTGTGCGATAGACTTACCTCAATATGGTGCACCCTGGGCAACGTATAATCATACGGCAAAAAAGTCTATTAACCGGCAGTTGACTTCTGACTTCTAAATACCATCACCTCACTCTATGTCATATTCGACTACTTCCACAGTACCCACCTCACCTTTTCCCACCTTTTCTACATTCGCCTTTGAAACACTCTTCTGTTTCCCCCCACACTGTCGACATTTTTTTTCACTTTGCTGTTCCTTCCCCTCTGTGAAGCCTGAAGTCAACTAAAGGGCTAATGATAACTATCAAAACGCCTGCCATTTGATATAAATAAATAAATATTTGTGCATTATAGGAAAGGATGTGGGATTCTAGTAGAATGAACAAAATTTGTTCATATTTCATTAAATCTAATAGACTAAAAGGTTGGCTTCTGATACCCTAGGGAGGCATACATATTCTGTTTCAAATGAATTGAG